CGCCCAGCCCCGCCACACACTGCGAACTGCGACCACTGCTCTGGTGGCGGCCGGGGGGAAGGGGGGGGGGCTGAAATGAAACGAAAGTTACACGACTCAAAGCAGCGGCTTGCTCCTTCCAGCTGCGAGGGGCGGATGTCGAGAAACGGTTGTTGGGGAGGTGTACAGTGAAGCATAGCTACGCCATCGATGTTGTTTTGGGTGGAGGCTGGAATGCCAGCGGCGAGCGTGGCGCGGCGTGGTGTAGGGCTGGGGGTCGCGCTGCAACGACGCCACGCAGAAGCACCAGTGACGTCAGAGGGAAGGCCAAACCGCTGGTACCGGGTAGCGCGGGCTCAACACAGGGACACTATTGGGCACCACACCTTCTCGCACACTGCACCAGGGCACCCCGGGCGCTAGGAGCTATGCGTCAAGACACTTGAACAGCTCCTGCACTGCAGATATGGACGAGGCTGTGACCACTTGGACGCTGCACTACTCACTTGAACACTACACTGAACGCCGAAACACGCCGAAACACTGTAATCCGGTTTCCAAAGGGGCTGCTGCTGCGGGGACGCTGCCGCACCGTAACATTCTGGGGCTCGTCGAGCGGGCCCCGCCCGCCGCCGGGCCCCTCAGCTGCGCACTCCAGATGACGCCCAGCGTGTGGGACGAAGGGCGAAACACAAAATCACTCATAACTCGCGAACACCACAACCGATCGACACAGCACTTTGCACAGACACTCGCGGGCACAACGCCGATTCACTGATACTAAATTCGACTCGGAAAGCTGCGATTATACCAGCAAAATACGAAGCAGATGACGGAGCGATGTGAAGGCGTCCTTACCCCACGCCGGCTCGAGCCGGAACCCCACGCACACAACGACGCCACTGTACCGGGTGATTCAGAGCACGCGCCGCCGTGTTGCGGGTTTGCCTATCCTCGACTCGGCGGGCGCACGGGTGAGAGGTGAGGAGGGGACCCCTCACCTCGGCGGCGCATGCTCTGAATCACACGGTACAAAGGGTACAAAGTGTTGGACGGACACTATCAAATGAGGTATTTTCTGGAAGAGAACAGGAAGGATATCGTCTGCTCTCGTACCATCACAAAGCCTCGGCCAATCACCATCGTTGGCGTAGCTACTCTTCAGTGCAGTCCTCTCCAAACCCAGCGTCCGTTAGTTCTAGACGGCGGGCGGGTGTGCAGCGCATTTTATTGGCAAGAGCTTGCTTTGAGCATTTATCACAACAAACCGAAAACGACCAAGTGAAGCTAACTACACTGTAAAAAATAATCACGGTCGCCCATACGGAAATATGCCGTTTACTTAACTTACGGCGTCTCCGTACCTTGGGTTTCGTACCCTCTTCCCACAAGAGCCCATGTAAAAAAACGTGGGTACGGAGCCAGGGTACGGAAAGGTACGGAAATAGTCCTGCTAATTTTTCGTCTTGAGTACGGAGTCTGTTACGGCGTTCCGCACCCCCTCTCCCCTATGCTAGCCCATGTAAAAATCGTTGGTACGGTGGCCATGTACGGCAAATCTCCGAACCGCTTTCGAAAATCACTCCCAAAAGTGAGGTACGGAACGCCGTGACAGGCTCCGTATCCAAGACTGATTTTTTACAGTGTAAAGACGGCATTGAGAGTCCTACAAATAGATAAGACATGCATTTTACGATAACCAAAGCTTTTATTGCAAGTCCAAAGTAATGTCCCATACACAAAATAATGAAAATGATACCAAAAATGGAAATAAGGGTATGTAGGCTTGCCGCCCCTAGGCCTCTTCATACTCCGCAAGGTCACACAGGCCGCACAGCACCTCGGCCCCGTGCAGCACCCGCCGCACCTCGGCGCGCTGCTGCCTGCAGGCGGCTGGCTCGTGGCTGTGCCCTCCCCTCAACAGCAGGAGCCTCCTGAGCGCCTGCAGCCCGCTCTGCTGCAGCAGCGAGTGCAGGGCGCCGCAGCTCTCTGGCCTCTCATTACTCCACGGCGTGCCCACCACCAGCTCCAGCACCTCCAGCGTGCCGCCGTGCGCCCGCAGCAGGGACAGTGTCGTGGCGCGGGGGAGTCGCTCCACCCTGAGCCACTGCAGGCCGGCGTGTTCCGGCGGCAGTGCGGGCAGCTCAGGGGGCTGGGCGAGCAGGTCAGTATCACCCACCACGTCCAGCCTCCTCAGCCGCGGCATGGCGTGCACCGCGCGCAGGTGAGCCTCGCGGGGGCAGGACACACTCAGCCGCTCCAGCGTGGGTGCGGCGCGCTGCAGCAGCTGGAGGCTCCAGGCGGGGTCCCTGTGGCAGTACACCCTGATCAGCCGGGTCACCTGCGGCAGAACAGAGTCATTCTCAGGGCGGCCGGTAACGTGCGGCACTGTCTGCAGTGTACCGGGCCGCTCCCCGCAGGGCCACTACCGCAGCCTAGTGCGGGCCGTGAGGCTCGAGGTCAGGCGCACACTCACCCCTGGCGCGTCTTGCAAGGCGGCGGCCTTCTCCTGCTGCTTGTAGTCGGGCCCACTGCCGCTGATAATTAACACATCCATCTCCCGCGGGGGCAGCGCCTCGGCAGGTGGTGGGTCCCGGGCGGCAAGGGGGGCTGCAGCGGGTGTGGCTGCAGCTGCAGGTGGTGAGGGTGCAGCTGCAGGTGGTGAGGGTGCATCTGCAGGTGGTCTGGGAGCAGCTGTAGTCGGTAGATCCCGTGCAGCAGCTCGGTTCTGCACAACCACACTGGATGTAGTACATTAAGGCTAACACCAGATAACAGTGCATTGCATGCGGACAGTGTAGTTCATCCGAACGCATGCATGCATGGATTGCTAGAGGCCCACTTTTTTTTTCTGAAATTCGGTATCTTGTTGCCGAGAAACGGAATGTTTAAATTTGACACTCATAAATATATTGATAGTGGTGTCTGATCAAGTAAGGTAACTTAACTACGGGCAGGATTAATATCTTACAATTTAACGAACACCAGTCTCTTTAAGCAAATGTTTCGCTGGATACGCGGACCTAGTTGTTACAGCAGGACAAGCAGGGCCCATTCGGTAGTGCAAGGGCGATCGACAAGATAATCTGCTCGCAGTTTGCTACATCGCCTACCTCGGTGAGCGCAGCCCTCGCCGCCAGCAGGAGGCAGAGTGCCTTGGTGAGGGGCTCCTCGGTGTTCCGCACGGTGCCCGTCAGTTCGCGACCCCCACCCCTCAGCGACACGTCCCAGGACTCGCCGGCCAGCAGAGTGAGGGCGGGCAGGGCCTGCTCCTCCCGGCACTGGTCCTGAAGGCCCTGGAGCTGCTCGGCGGCCTGAGGCAGCGCGCCCTGCAGCTGGCGCCTCAGGGCTCTCTTGACGGGCAGGACGTCGTGGTCCTCATCCCAGCAGCGGGGCGACGGGGCAGTGCGGCAGTCCGAGCACCAGCAGCGGGGAGTGCTGTGGGGCACAAGTCATGCTATGAGGCTGACGAACACTCCACCGCCGCGGCCGTCTGCGCGCGAGCGAGCTCACCTGTCGAGTCTGGCCTCCTTCTGCTCCTGCAGCGCCAAGAAGTTGGTGGGGAGTCCCTCTGGCGGCCCAGTGAAGTGCTGCGGGAAGTGAAGGGCAGCAGAACGAGTGAGCGGAGGGCATCAAGGGCAGTGTGGGCCAGGGAAGCGCATGCTGCCGCGGACACCCTCATCCCCACCCAGGACACTCACCCGGCGGCACGTAGTGCAGCAGTTGTCGGGCAGCCGCCGCAGGCACTGCAGGCAGGCCGTGTGCCCGCACGGCAGCACCTTGGGCAGCCGCTGCACGCCGTCGTAAACCTCCATGCAGATGCCGCACTCCATGCTCAGGCCGGTGGTCGCGGAGCGTCGCGAAGCTGCAGCAGAGGCCGGACAAAAGGGTGAGTGACGTCGGCAACAATAAAATTACAGATCGAAAACAAATCCGTCAGCCGCTAGGCCAAAATACACTGTACAGGAGGTTAGGTTCACTCACTTGTTTATCTGGAGACTAGTGAGTCCGGTCCAGGGCGTCGTCACTGGTTACCTTCTACTCACAGTTCTCATACGGCTCGCCAAGTCCCGCCGATCCACTCGCTTAGCGCAGCAAATAACTCAACCCGGCCCGCCCGAGACGACACGTCAACGCAGCACAATGCGTGTGCCTGGGCTGCGCTGCCTCCCGTGGTGTGTGTGGAGGGGGGGGGGGGGGCGCTCGGACCAAGCGGAAGGACATTGTATGGACGTATATACGTCACTTTTAACATTTTTAGGGAGAAGAGGATGGTACGTTTTAGATCCTATTCGATCTCGGCTCGGGGCGAAAAAGAAAGGATCCCGACCGGTACCAGTTGTAAAATTCACGCTATTTTATCGTTTAAACAGCCGTGAGAATTTTATGCGGTTTTATGCATCGTCCAGAATGTTTTGAATAACTTTGCCAGAAGATTTGCAAGTATTCCGCGGAAATGTAGCAGGATTAAGAGACTGGTTCTGGTCCGGATTTCCCTCTACCTGTCTAATCGCCGAGAGCGAATATGATTATTATGTTTGGACCCAGACTTCACCCCCTTCAGCGGGGCAACTAAATACCACGGGGACATATGAAAAAACGCGTATTTAATTTACCCCTCAACTATGACCCAAGAGCCGTAAAATTACTAACAGCCCCTCTTTTTTGGACAAGAAATATGAGTACATAGTTAGTGTAGGGCCCCTTCTAGGATCCTGTGCGTCGCGTCTTGTTGCTGAACAATGGCAAATAAACATTTCCCGGCGTTGAAGTTTCCATTTATTGAAAGAAGCCGGCCATGTCTCTGAGTATCTGCTTGTAGAGGACGAGCGATCTCCGGGAGAAGATGAAGTCCGCGTGCGAGAACAGCGGGTCGGGGTGTCTCCAGCGGCGCACGAGGCTGCGGACCGAGCGGCTCACCAGGCGGTAGTCCTGGAGGTCGCATTCATCATCACTGAGTGTCAAACTGTTATAAATTGTTTTGTGTTCGGCTCGTATTTTTTCCTACCTTTGGGTGGACGAGGACGTCGCTGTCGCCGGTGTACGTGAAGATTGGCGTGGTGATCCTCTCGAGCGGGTAGTTGCGCGGCACGGCTCGGCCGTAGAGCCTCAGGTTCTTCTCCGTGGAGGGGAAGATGTACGGCCGGAACGCGTTCTCCGCTGCGGGCCCAAGTGTTTGTAACCGACTGCAGTACTGGGGAAGGTCCCGATAATGACCTCTCGATGTCACTCACCCCATCCCAGCTGCGCTATGTGCCACGTGGTGCGGAAGGACCCCGCGGAGGGAAAGGTCTCCGAAAAGTAGTACGTGTTGCCCTGCGAAAGAGAGTGCGAAATGTGCACCACACGAGAAATTGTATCGAGACGAATGTATCACGTCGGGTCGGGGGAAGAAAAAGTTTTGAATGAGCTGTGCTGGGACGCCTGCCAGCCGAGGTGGTAGGCCACCACCCCGACTCGCCCGCACCGGGCCGGAGGATAATGCCTACGTACTAGGCGTTAAGACCTATACTGCTCACAATGTAGTCCTCCTCGTGCGCGCTGCTGGTGAGGGTCATCCACAGCCTGTTGCAGATCCAGCGCGCCTCCCCGCGGCAGGCGACCTGCTGGAACCCGCGGACGAGGGCGTGGGGGAACACGACTGACTCGAGGCGCTCCACCAGGGGCTGCGGACAGACGAGTCCATGTTGACAATAAACCAATCAATAAATCAATAAACCAATTAATCAATAAATCAATCAATCAATCAATCAATCAATCAATCAATCAATCAATCAATCAAGGCGGAAATGCTGTCGGTAATCTCGATAACCAAAGTAATCCGGAAGTATAACAGAAGCAATCAGAAGGCGATCTGCGTGTCGTACCTCGGCTTTGACGGCCGTCTTGATGAGGGAGAGGAAGATGCCCGGGTTGTAGAACTGAGTCGTTGAGGGGGCCATGAGGAAGGCGGCCGACACCTTCTGGCCGTAGTCGGGCCGCAGGGCCGCCATGGCCAGGAACGTCAAGGAGCCCAAGGAGAAGCCGGCCCAGATGACCTGCCTGTAGCCCGTCTTGGCCAGGATGGTGTCGACGCACGCCGGGTGGTCGTACACCGCGTGCTCGTGGAAGCTGCGCCAGAGTGGTGTCGGTTAGAGGAGGCGGGGGGCGTCGAGCCTCGAGTATAGAACCTCTGACTTGCCCGAACTTCCAGTACTCCGGGTCGTCCACGTCGAGGCGCACGTGCTGCGTGGAGTAGGCGGAGCCACGGGGGTTTATCATCCACACGTCGTAGCCCGCGTCGAAGAGGAGGAAACCTTCGGGATGGGCACGGCGCACGTGATATGAAGAGCCGTGACAAAAGTACCTCGCCCCCCGACCTGTGACTTACCCAGGGCGCGGCCCTTTCCCAGGTTGAGGAACACGGTGGCCGAGGCGATGTACGGGGTGGCCATGTACACCGGTGGCCGCCCTGGGTTGGGGATGCGGTCTAAGCTCAGGATGTAGCCGTCCTCCGTGAGGGCCTTGTGCTGCTCGTGCGGGTAGCCCCAGAGAGCCAGGATGTCCCTCTGCCAGGAGGGGGTGCAAGGACAAGCGTCATGACCAGGGACAGACTGTCTATTTAAAAGGCATTCCAGTTCGCGTTATTTCCATTTCACTTGTTATTATTGGACTTACTGACGTTTTGAGCGCGCCCGCGCCCATGAATGATCTTTTGCTGATAGCCGTTGAGTTCCTGGCCAAAAAAATTGAAATATACCAACATAT